TCTTTTTTCAGGAAAGGTAATGGAATTTTTAAGCCACTCTTCTCAGCACTGCCAAGGAGGGACTGCTGACTTGACTTCTTCTTTCAGAGGCAAATGAGCAAAGAAACAGGATACAAATCACAATAATACAATGCAACCGTGTTTCATCACAGGTTTGTTATTTTTTTCTCTGACAAAGAAGTCTTCAGAAGTCTGATGTTTGATATGGCTGCTAAAGTCGAACTTCGTGTTGCTTAAATTGGATGACAAGGTTTTCAATCATAAGTTCCTTCTCATTGACACAGCTGTTTCATTCTCTTTTATTGCCAACCATACTACATAGCTATCTTAAAAGCAGAGTGAATAATTTTTTGAGCACTGAGGCCATATTAGAATTTTTTTCAAACCCAAGGGTTAATTCATTGATATATTTTCTAGTACACAATCATGTATTAATGGATATATTCATATCAAAACAAAGAGGCTTGCTGGTTGAAAAGTCCCAAAAGAATAAGGATATGTGCATGTTATGGAAAAAAGAAAGAAAGGAAGGAAGAAAAAAAAAAGCAGGACTAAGGTTTAGATTATAAACAGACTTAGAGTGGCGGCAGATAAGAAATTGGAGTCCCCCTCAGGTCCTATGTAGCACACAAGGTTTTCTGGTTTTGGTTCAGGAGCTCTGTAGTCCTTAGTCCCTACCTACCATTATTTGCTGCATATGTTGAAATATTTTCTCTACAACATCACTAGCTGTGAGTTCCTTGGATAGTCAACATTTCTAAGTCTGTTTCCTCATTAACAAACTGGGCACAGTCGGCATAATTTCTAACAGGCTATATTGTGTGGGTCAAATAGGCCATGCTGTGTAATTGTACAATGTTCTGAAGAGCAGACTGTATCATGCAGTCAGAGTGGATGCTGCCTAGAAAAGCCTGACCAGGAACAGAGGCATATTTGCTGGATTGGCTGGGGAGCTCATTTGTGATCCGCTACCTTCTTACTTCTACATTCTGACTTCTAACTGCTGAAAGAGCAAGGAAGGATCGTGGGAATCCAAAGACAGGAATCATGAGGATAATGGGGCTTCTAGGGGGAGCACACTGTCCCCTCAACAAAGGGGAAGGCATCCAGTATAACACTGTGAGCACACAGGGAACCTTCCCCTCTGTTCAGGACCTCCTGTAGCTAGAACTTAGATCTTCTCTGTGTCCTTATTGTCCTCAATGGAAAAAAAAAGCCAAACACTAAATGCAGAGACAAAATGAAGATCATATTACTCATTTGGTGGGTAAAACAAACTAACATGGAAAATATGAAGGTAAACCAACAAATAAACCATCAGGAAGCAGAACTGTTAGAATTAATAGAGTACTTTAAACAATCACTTTATTTTAAGAAAAATCTTGGGGATAGTAAAAACATGAAATAGAGAAAGTATTATGGCAATAAAATAGCTAAGAATTTTAAATTTAAAAATTCTAGGCAATATAAAAAACAACATAGTACCTATTGGGATGTATATGTGATTCTATCTATCTACCTATCTATCTATCTATCTATCTATCTATCTATCTATCTATCTATCTATCTATCTATCTATCTATCTATGTCTATTTAATCCCAAAAGGGACTTGGCTCTAGTACAGAAAGAAAAGATTATAGGTTTCCACTTTTTTTTTTTTTTGACACAGGGTATTATGTAGATCAAACTGGCTTCCAATTTGCTAGATAGCTGAGGCTGCTTCCACCTTCCAAATTCTGGGAATTTAGGCATAGACCCCCATATCAGCACCCCCATAGAGACTTTTTTAGAGCATTAAAAAGATAAACCAGTTAAGATGGCCTAATCCGGAGTCTACCATCCCAGGAAGTAATGCTATCCTAAGGAGACATTTTTATTATTTTTATGACCACATCGCCTAATTTTTAGTAAGTGAAGATGTGACATACTCACAGAGTGGTACTATAAGCAAAGTGTCACAACAGGCAATCTGTCTGAAAGGTCCCTGATCTCACGCTAACCTGATGACATTGAGGAAGAAAGAAACAAAGAGGGACTGTAGAGAAGGATGACAAGATCCTGGGACAGGGCCATGATGCTCATTACGGTTAGGGAAGATGGAGCAAGGTGCAGGAACATGGTATGGTAACGGTACATTGAGAAAGTGAAGAGGAAACTCTCACCTTATCAGTGACCAGACAGGAACCCTTGCCGGACTGGTGCTGGGGGCTCTCTAGAGTTTAGCATGGTAACTTTCCACCTTCATTCAATAAAGAGCGATGTTACCAGAGACTTGTAGAGGCCATGCATGTGCCAGGTGCCACACCACCCTGCCATCAGTGAACTCATTGTGTGGCTTCTTGTTTCTTGCCCTACAATGTTTTACTGTTGTTCTTCTGGATCAAAGATGAACTAAGGACCAGATGGGTCTCCAGGACAGTTCGGAATTAAAATAAGAATTACAGCTCTCTACCTTATAACATATATCAAATTTATAGGATTTTTCAGCAAGTTTTATATCTTATGTAGTCAGGTTGGATAAAACACTCCCAACTGTATTTATTAATTGACCCAAGTATCTCACATTTAATTTCAGTTTGCTAGTGAGAAACCTTGCCAGCCTACAGAGTGTTATATGTATCCACAAAACCCAAAACACAAACCAACCCCCTAGTGTCTTTTAAAGCTGTTTCTCTAAAACTATCCTTTTGGCTTCAAGTTGGTCTTTGTCCCTCAGATTGCTGCCATTTGTCTCTATAACAGGACTGAGGAGAAGAATTCACAATATCTGGGGATCCATTTCTAGATTTTTAGGAAGAACTCATCCAACTAAATGTCACACTTCATTACCATTAAGGGGCCAATAAAAAATCAGTTTGCAGATACCATCTACATTTTCATGTATTATTTATACAAGGTTGAGATTTATAATTTCAAGACTGAAGTGTTGATAAAGATGTGCATAATATTGAAATGGGATGATTTACTGCTGGGGCAAACAAATAACAGAGGTGGTGCTGACAGCAGTATTGAGGCTAATGTATAATTTATAACACTAAGCAGCTTTACAAACAAGAGTAAGAATTGCACATTAGGTTCTGCCTGAGAAAACACTTGCTTTCACTAAGGCATTTAACTGTCCTCTTTTCTAACCAGGATCTTTTGGTGGGGCACCAACAGGCTGTTTGCTATCCCTGTGTGACCACCCTAAAGAAGCATCAATCTGCATGAGGAAGGCTGTCATGTTTTACCTGCCTGCCTCTGCAACTTTTCCTTAACATTTGTATGTAGAAAAAAAAATGCCAAACAGGAAGACATCAAGCTAAGTTAAATTTATAACTGAAAATAATGGATGTTAAAACCTAGACATTTATTTCATAAAAATCACTACAATAATTGTTCCTAATGTTTGTATTTTATAAGGAAACCCAATGGAGAAGTTTTCTGCATAGAATTTCTAGATCCCAGGATAATGGACTGTCATGGAGACTGCTGGAAGACTTCCCAGTTCTTATTCCCACATCTTACTTTCTAATAAAACTCATATCCATTACAGCATCCCATTAACCCCTATATGATTCAAGTCTTGCATAAGGCTAACTTGCTCCCAGTTTTCAGGGAATCGAGGAAGATGTAATTAAGCCCAAGTCAACCATGAAAATACTATTGTGGTGCTCACAGATGCTCCTGAGGTCCAGTCCTAGCAATGAGATGTGTGAGAAGGCCTTCTGGTATGTCTATGAACACATTTGTACACGTGGAGGCCCAAAGGGAGCATCAGGTCCCCTGGAGCCAGAGTTTCGGGTAGTAGTGAGCTACCCAATGTAGATGATGGGAACTCAGTCTGGACCTCCATAGGAGTAGCAAAGGCTCCTAATTACTGAGCCATCTCTCCAGCTCATTTAAGTAATTTTAAACAGAAATGTGTGCTACTTAATAATGAAGATCTCATAGCTTATTTATGGGCCATTTGTCAATTTTCTGGAGCCTAACATCTGTTCCATCATTCAAATGCCACCCTGTGAGGATTTGTTTATTGCTGATAACATAAGGTAATTTTGGTGAGTGTATAAACTGATGACATGACTGCCCCATGATATGGTTAGGGGGAGGGTTTTATTGTAGATATGGGAGACAGAACAGCCAGAGGCATCTGGATGAGTCCAGAGCAGAGAGAGAGAAAGAAGTAGACTGAACATGGCCACAAGACTCAACATGGCCAGGGCTACCTGGGAGGGAGGGGAGAAGAGCAGGGGATAAAGAATAGAGAACACACAGTGAGAGAAGCAGGAGTAGAAGCAAGAGAGAACATAAGCAAACTGTTGGGAATTCAGTTCTGCGATTTAAGACCAGCGTAACAGATAATCTATTGCTGATAGTATTCCAATATGTGCATGCCATGACTCCATTTAATTAGATTCTGGACAGGTAGGATTATGAAATACTTATAATAATGTAACATCAAGGATGTTCTCAAATACAAAGAAAAAAAAGACTCTGACTTTGATCGCAATGTGAGAAAATGGATACTCTGGCATAAATGTAAGCTCACAAGCATGGCTGACTCACTGACTGTTTCATGTTTATCTGAGATAATAATTTCCTTTTGTCCTTTGTTTTGAAAAACAATAGCCATTGCTGTTGCTTTCCAACAATGCTTGCTTCCCATCCCAGTCATTAGGTATTTGCAGATAGCAATGATGACTATATACTAGCTGGAGGAAAACCCCATCATATTATACAATAAAAATCTTCCCCATCATTTATCATCAAGAATAGAACAATGACAGTTACTATAGGGAAGTTAGCATACCCGGTTGATATTCAGGACTGTGACTAGATGGATAGTTTCTCCCTAGTCCCCTGGGATAAGACAGAGTGAATGCTCAGTAGGAACTCACAGGAGTACACTAAGAGTGACAATTCTTCAAGCTGTAAATTTGTACAAAGTTTATGGAATTCTGACTTAACTCAATAGAAAGGAAATCACTGTTTTTGCTTTTTAAAATAGTTTTTGCAGTTTCCATAGAGACTGTTAAAAATTGCCAATGCCGACTATATTGCAAGTTGTTACATCGGGGTATTGGGAAAAGTTTTCAATTAGCAATAATCTCGCCCGGGATGAACCTCATTGGCTATGATACTGCCACTGCACAAACTACTGTTTTTGCTATTATTTTGCTTTATTTTAGTTTGTTTAAGAATCAGATGTTTTGAATAGGAATTTCAGCGTTTTCTTTCCATTGGTTCCATAAGTTCTGTATATTCTGATGACACTGACAGATCATGAGGAGGTTCGTTTTCATGTCTGTTCATGTACCCATACCTATTTTGGGAATTCATGACCATTTGTACATTCCTAGATTTAATAATTTCTCCAATAGAAAAAAATCTAGTCAATTTTCCCTTCTAATTTTGCTATATTCTTATCTGTGCAGCACCCATGGAGAGGAAGTTTAGTGGCCCTCCCCCTCACTTATATACACAAGTTGGTGGCAATTAATTGAAATCATGCTGGAGGGATCATGGTGAGTAAGAAAGGAAAAAAGTACTGCGTGTGTGCAAGTGTGTGTGTGTGTGTGTGTGTGTGTGTGTGTGTGTGTGTGCATGTGTGTGCGTGTGCACGCATGTGTATGTTTGGAAATTGGCATGTGTCAAGATTTTCCAAAAGTGGAAAGGAAAGTTTAGCCATGGGTCTTATCCCTCTCCCAGTATGTCTGCAGTGCTCAACACTGCCCCCTCTTGGAAGAGGTAAATGCTATATCTGGCCATCCTTTGCTTAATGATCTGGAATATGTGAAAGTGATTCTGTTTCCCAGTGAAGCATGAACAAACTCCCTTCCTCTCCCATCCTGCTTGTTAGGCACAGCAGTGAGGGATGCCTTTCTATGTTGTGATTCTGGGGCATGTTTCCTGGGAGATTCACTTTTGAAGCACTGAATAATGAAACAAGCATCTACAATGGGTTCAAGATGCAACAGTTACTTTCAAATGTTAAGGAGTTTATTCTGTAACAAATAAACATAGAAACATAGAAAGAATATCTTACTGGGACTCCTGAAAAGGACAGGCCCTAGCAATGATGCAATACTTACCTACTCAGCCAAGCTGAAGCTTCATGTGTGCAGGGGAAGAAATGGCCTTTTGCAGAACAGGCAGCACAGCTAATATACTGCATGGTGACACGTTCCCAAAAGCTCCTTGATAGAAGTAACAAGCCTGCACAACATGACAAGAGGTGGGAGCATGTCTTTCAACTCTAGATCCTGTTCAGAAGCCCCTTTCCAGAGGGGGGAATCCTCCTAGGTCCTCAGAAATATTACATATAAATTGATAAGGGGTTAGTATATTTTTTATATGTAGGACAATGCATTTCTGTGTGGAATTTTGTTGTTTAGCATTTTCAGAAGAGAGAAGGAAAGCAAGTAGTTGACTGATACAAAGTATTAGTCTCTTAAGTATAATTGATTATTTATATATATGTGTATATATTTAATATCAAAACTTGACTCAGAAAACGTGTCTATGTACGGCTTACCAACATTAGTTTCCTTTCATTCATGTTTCAGAATTGGGCATTCATCTGAATAAACCCTTATTTTAATGCTCAGAAACTGACTGGGACTTTAAAAAAATCCCATTGATTCATTCCCTCTACTTTCTTTCTTCTCAGTTTGGAACAATTAGAATTCCTGACATATTTTTTTCCTTATACTGTGGTTCTATGACCATCCACATCACTCACTTCTTTGACTTCCCTCATAGTTTCCAGGCTTTCTTCTCATTGCCTCTTACTGTCTTACAGCTCTCTCTCTGTTTCTGTTCTCCCATAGGCAGTTCCTTCTCTTTTGATTCTGGGTTTTTTTTTTTCATGGTCTGCACCACATTCCACAGAATTCTGTGCTTTCCTTTTTATTTCTCTGTTTTTTATGCTCCCTTTGATCATGCCCACTATAAGCCTAATCCTTCCATTTCTGCTCACACCAATACACCCAACTCCAGTAGTGACTGAAGTGAGATCTTAACATCTGGTTCTCCACTAGACATCTCTTCTTTATATGGCTTAGGTCTAAGTAAATACAGCTACATGTGGACTTAGCATGTGCCATAGGAATAGTGTGCCCTCACTTACTAGTTTGCTGCAGAGACACCAGACCGCTTTCCCCAGACCGCTCCTTCATACCAACTACTGCCTCCAACCACAGTTTCTGTCCAGTAGCAAATCCACCATAAAAAGAGTGTTGGTTGACTACAAAACAGCCATTTGTTAAGTACCAATTATTTTGAGGAATAAAAGGACACCAGTAGTACTGTGTACCTTAGTTATTGAGGAAGTGAGTGGAAAAAAATAAAGAGACAGAAATCATAGCAGGATTAGTGAACACTATTAGGTTTCTATACAGGAAGTAGAAAAGAAGGACACACACAGAAGGAGGGGTGGTGGAAGTAGAGAAAAGAAGTGGGAGTCAGGACGTGAGAGCTTTGGTTACAGGATGACTGAAAGTAGCTGGAAAAGAGATGCACAGATAGCACAGAACAGTCTCCTCTCTCTAGAGGCTGAGTCATAGAAAATCTGTAATAGGGTATTGTGTGTTCTTAGGGAGAAGGAAAAGGAAGAAGATGTGTTATGGAGAAAAAAAGGTACAAAAAGGCAAGACACAAAGGGGCAGGAACAGTGAAGGACCATGATGGCTTGTCACATTTGCCTTGGGTTTGGTATGAAGAAGGAAGAGCTGCAGAGAGGATCAGGACTTGAGTGAAGACTGCACGTGAGGCTATTTTCTCTGCAGACTCTTGGCCTCTTCGGATGACCTGGAGTGGAAGCTGAAGTCTCAGTGTGTTTTCAAACCTCAAATGGAGACCAGATGTTGGAACTGAAGTATGGGGCATACTCCTTAATCTCCAATGAACTGAAACCGGGCTCAAAGAATGGGAATGTTCTACAATCTCAAATGGTGACCTAGAATTGGGGCCTGACTATGCCCATGTTTCTTAATCTGAACAGTGAGTTAAAGTGGGGACATGTGCATATGTGTGTGTATATGTATAAGAGCTTGCTTCCTACTGCAAAAGACAAATCATAGCTGAGGCAGAGTCAAGCTTTTGCTCAGTTCACATAAGCAACTTGCAAGAAACCTAATCCATTGCAAACTCTCTAAATAGAAGTCTCTGATTTTTTCTAGTTTTATGTTACTTTATTTCATGGTAATATCTTACATTTTTGACAATTAAATAATATTTGTAATTGAGAACCTGGTGATAGAACAGAAAGGGTCTAAATTTAAAAGCAGGTATTAATATTGTATTTCAGTTATGTATGACTCTGGCAAAGAAAGAACTCTGAAGACTCAAATTCTTCATCTATATAGATAAAATGTGTTTTCCTAGTAACTGCCTCATTGTTAGTGTTTAAAATTAGAAGCCAGGGTTATGCACCATGCCTAGTATAATCCCCTCCACCTCAAAGCCATGAATAGCCCACTAGTGTTAGTTTGATTTTTACATTCTCTAGGAGTTGCTGGATTATGTGTCAATTAGCCCATTAACAGTATACTTGTGGCAAGAGTTTAGTGAGGGTTTTCTGGAAGGAAAGGGTGCCATTATCCCAGGTTTAACTCTATTCTAAATGAGTATGTCCATAGTCATGGGAACCAAGGTTTAGATGTGTGAAAAATACCACCTCCATCCCTCCCAAATTGTTTCTATAATTTTTGGGTCTGTGATTTAGAAATCCTGGTTTTTAAACAGGAACAGCTTCCTCTAAATGACACAGTGTCACGACACTGCAAGTCTGACTACTGCTTTGGGCCTCTGGTGGCAGTGTAACAATGGCAAGGAGTTTGCGGCAGAGCAAAATGTTTCCCCATGGTTAGGATCAAAATAAGGAATAGAAAGGAGTTGGAAGTCCCAAAATTTCCTGCAGAGTATGCTCTCCATTATCTAAAGACTCTCTTGGGCCCATCTACTAATAGTTCTACCCTGGGGAGCAAGCCTTAACACAAGAGCCTTGGGAGATAATAGATATCTAAACCATAACAGAAATCATTGTTGACCTTTTCCTGTGAAATCTGGGTGGCATGGTAGGAAGAAATACATACTGAATTGATTCTGTATATCCAGTGTTTTCTGTGGGTAGTTTTTTTTTTCAGTATGCTTGGAAGTAATAGAAAGTTCCAACTTCATCTTCTTTTTAAAGTTATGTTCTCACATTGCAGCCTAGCAGGGACATTATTTTTTAGGAGCCTGTTGGGGTTCCATTGAGAATGCTGTAACAGTCCCATAGCCCTTTGTATTTGTTTTCAACGGTTGGAATACAGAGAGGCCAGGTATATGATTAACCTTCAAACTTCCCTAAGGTCAACTCCTTAATGAAAGTTATAAAATCCAACCAAAAAATTACTGGCAGCTCAAATAAACAGAGGTGATTAGGTCACTCAGGGGAAACATAACAAAGTCAATTACTTTCAATATGGTTAGGTTTATCAGATTTCTTTCCTTCCACGAACAAAGAAACCAGGAGTGTCTATTTAAAAGTGTGGGAATGCAAGTAGGGTATGTAAAAGTGGATGAGAATCAAGGAACAGAGACATACTTGATATAATTCTTATATTTGAATGATATCATCTTTATAAATAGTCATTTTATTGCAATTTAATAGATACTATTGTCTTAGTTAGGGTTTCTATTGCTATGATAAAACACCATGACCAAAAGAAACTTGGGAAGAAAGAGTTTATTAAAATTTACAATTCTCTGATCACACTCTATCACCAAGGGATAGCAGGAACAATAAGAGAAGTCAGAGCAGGAACCTGGAAGCAGGAACTCAAGCAGAAGCCATGGAGATGGACTGCTTTCTGACTTGCTCCTCCTGGCTTGTTCAGCTCTCTGCTGCCTGTCCAGGGTTACCACTACCTAAAATGGGCTGGGCCCTCCTACATCAATTATATTAATCAAGAAAATGCCCTACAGAATTGCCTACAGGCAAATATAATAGAGGCATTTCTTTAACTGAGATTCACTCTTTATAGAAAATTCTACCTATGATCAGTTGACAAAAAACAAACCAGGACATATTGAATGTTATCAACTATCAACTATTAAGCACTATGGTAAATTCTTGGGAAAGGTTGAAGACAAAATGATAAACATGAAAATAAG